TCAGAGATGTGTATAAGAGACAGTTCTATTTTAATCTCATTAACACATAAACAACACTAATTGTAAGTTAAAATAACTACTTATAACAGAGATATAATTTAATTATAAATATAAAAATGCTATATATCCAATTTGTACGCTAATTTTACTCACTTGAGGTTGAATACGAAAAGGACGTTGAGTCGCTGCCAAAGAAGAAATCTTCCCTCTTACTAGCTATCAGTTTTTTCAATCGTTTTATATTAGCTCGTGCATTATTTCCCTCATCGAGGTCTTGCACTATATTTGAAATTTCTGCACAACGAGTACAAGTAGTCTTTTCTTTAATCACGGGACTCACGATATTATCACTGATTATAGACGCAGTCGGACTTTTGATAATGCTTTTAGAGTCCAAGTCCCCATTGCATTGCTCCTTCTTATATTTGAGAAGTTGATTGGATGTGGATTTTTTCTCCATCGTAGGCTCCATTGCAGACGATTGTCCGATAAATGGTTTCTTTATCGACGACTTACTTTGTGTAAGTGTCGCAGAAGAAGTCTTTTGATACAATGTATCATTGTACAAAAGGTCATTATGATTATTAATATTATTTCCATTTTCATTTATAAACGTGTCATTTTTCTCTTCTTCCTCGTATATCATCTTAAAACAATAAAAAAAATTATAAGTAATGACGCAGCCTAGTAAACGAAGAATTACTGTACGAAAAATTCTAAAGAAAATTTTTGTACATTACATCTATTAGTTATATCTATTTACCAGCAGCCTATGAAGTTTTCTTCCTATTTTTTCCATGTCCAACATTATCTTCGTCTCGTCAGGGTGCAGTCCAGCCTCTAATAAGCTACGGAGGATCGACGGAACGTTCTGCAAGTTTATAATAATATCTCGTTTTCGCATCATGTGCTGCCGATCTGCATTTGATTGATCGTATCCGCTCCACGGTACACTTCCTGTGGATTATAATGTTATACAATAATTATTAATCAATTATCGTCAATTATCTTTTTTCCTTGTGAGACAATATCAATAAAATTTCAATGTTTTATTTTAAAAAACATAACAATTATTTTTTAATTACAAAAATAGGAAATTGTATACTTGCCTGTACACATTTCCCAGAGTAACAGCATCAAACAGTAAACATCGATTTTTTTATTGGGAGATAGCCCGTAACATATCGCCGGTGCTTGCCACTTGAAATTCTCTAGTCGTAAATATTTTTCGTAATCGCGTTCTATATGAGCCTAAAAACAAAAGAAATAAATTTAAATATAAATTTGTTTTAACATTTCATTTAACACTGAATTATATATGTCACAAATATTCTTTCTGTATTAAATAAGGAATAAAGCTAATTAGAAAACTGCGATATAAACTCGCGAAACCTTTGGAATGAAATAAAAAAATTGATTAATATTTAGATTTCAACGTAAAATGAAATTAATCATATAAAACGTAATAGTTTTTTTCTTTTGATTCTCATTTTTCCTTGACAGATAAGATTTCTTCTACGTAAATACAGTCTTTATCGTTGAAAATAATCCATCATATTTAATTGTGATTATGAGTTCCGCGTTCCAGACGGCGCGTGCGATTAGCATCGACACGGTACAGCGAATTTATTCAGAAACGAACATTTTGTCGAAAACAATGCCAGTCGTTTCCGTTAGTGAAACGCTCATGGGTGTGTCGTGGAATCGCGGATATGACGTGATCAGTTTCATTACAGTCTATTCTGTCTATTCTGTAAACTTTTTAAATCTGCTAACGAATGACTTTAAATTCTCTCGTAAAGGTGCAATAGTCGCGTGCGTAAGAGCTGACAAATGTGAATGAAAAATTCGCGTATCTGTTTATTACAGAGTAATGAAGTTACTTAGAACATGTCATTTAAATTGTATAAATCAGAAACACGTAGAAATATACAAGACAATCTATGAGACATCTGTACATACAGCAGTCATCTTATCAATTTTCATGTAAATTCTATGTTCGTAAATTATTTGGATTATGTTTATAAAAAGAGATATTTGTACAGATTTATAGTTTAAAACAACTGATGTCCGAAAACCTTCACATTTATATATTATATATTTTAAGATAAAACTATGCTAGCATTTTTGAGAATACAGTGAGAATACATTTTGAGAATACAGTGAGGCAATTAGATAGCTTAAATTCCACATACTTTTTCTATTTCTCTAGCCAGTTCCCATCCGCCAAGTTTAACAGTCGTGTCGGATGCAAAATAAACACAGTGCGAGCTAATCGCCGTGTGTATGTAACCACGCATATGACAGTACTTTAATGCGTTCGCCAATTTCATGCCAATTTGCATGATTCCTTGTACGTTTATTCGTTCGCCTTGCTCGTGCATGTAACTGTACAATGAGCAGTCGATGGGTTCGAAGATGGAGACGAGGCCGTGCTCGTTTGTGTACGTTGTGGCCATCAGCAGCAGTATGTTGGGATGCCGAATTTCGCTAACAATTGCAAGGTCATGTTATATAAAAGCACTTCATACGATCGTGTTATAAAAAAAGTACACAGAACGTCTTTTACTATTCTTCTACATCTCTTACTACTCTTTTTTACTATTCTGAGAATTGATCACGATTGTAATTATCCTCTTTTTTTTTCATACACGATAAAGCGATGCCTACCTAAGGATCTCCACGTCCGCTTTTATCGCATCCCGGCACGTTGATAAAACGTGTCTCTTCAGCGTCACTCTCGTATTGTGCCATTCTGCAGAAATCAGCTCGAGACACTTGTTCTCCGTGCCAGCAATACATTCGATCTCGAATATTTCAGAAGCACCCACGTGCGGTACACCCGCGACGAACTGTGCGTGCTTCCGCGGCCTTCGATTGTCCTTCTCAGAGGACTGCTCGGCGTTCTGCTCCTTGGGCAGATAGACGACCCAGTCCGGATCGGTAGTCTCTCCGTTGGACGTCTGGCAGTGATTCGCAAATTGTTGTAATAAATTTCGATAATATTCACTGCAAAGAGACATCTTAAGATTAGCTTACTAATCTCATCAGAGAGCAAGTAGCTGTAAGGTACAGCATCAAAGAAAAAAATGCTACTCGTCTATGATAAATATTTAATTCTGTAGCGTCAGAGGCCTTAAAACTTTCAACGATTCGATCAATGAATAATTAAGAATAGAAATTTAACTTATAGAAATTAAGAATATAAAAATGTATATAAAACTGTCACTATCAAAGCCAAATAAAAAATCTCTTAGGTCTGATTGTTATTTTGACCAACGTTATTTTGGTTTTAAGTGAGGCTAAAATATTTCTCTCTATCTCTCCCCCTCCCTCTCTTCCAAAGTTTTAAAAAGAGAAAGACAGAATTTTAAACCTCACTTAAAATCAAAATAATAATGTTGCTGCAATCAGCCTGAAAAGTTAGGAAAAAGACAAATTCAGTATTGTCGATTATTCGCAATAATATTTGCTTCTTTATATTTCATTTTCCTTTGTTTTTCGAAATTAAATGAGATCGGACATGCAAATGTGTCTTCAATTAACTTACAAATTATTATTGCCTCATCCTGTGAACACTTCCACTTTAACAATACGTAAATAGTATAAAAGAGAAAATTATTGCATATATAAAAGTAACATATTCATGTCAGTTTCAATTATCACATAAAACACCGGATTTTAATGTTCGAATACCACTTTCTCAGGTCATAAAATACAAAATTGAATAAATTAGTAAGATAATCAAGTTTGCATGCACATATAATAATTCAAAAGTTTAAGTTAACAATTATCTCATTATGTAATAATTGATATTAACATAAAATGGTTATATTAATGTTATTACAATATATATATATATAGTATCTATAGTAGAATATTGAAATTATATAATTGTCGCTTCAGAATTTATTCGCTCACGAAGACAGCTCTTTCATAATTTACCGAAAATTACCGAGTTATACTGAAGACATTGTTCATAATTACTTTTCGGATTACAACACGATAAGAACGAAGTAGTATCTCGTCGGAGAGAGAAGAGAGTAGACGCGCACCAGACACGACTGTTCGCACAACTGAGGAAATATGCTCGTGGCAACGGTCATAGTACAGGCGTCGGTATCGCGTCACGATGATGTAAACGATGTAAACGATGATGCGCGTATCTGACTTTGTAATTTTCAGATACGTCGAGCGTTACGTTGTGTAGGCTGCTATGCAATTAAGTTGCTATCGGTGGACTGTTGGTGCGTTTTTTAAAAATTACTTAAATTTTTTTAATCTCTTAAGTAAAAATATAAAACTGTTGGAAAATAATTACAAGTAACTTAATATGGAATATAAAGTAAGTATAATGAGAGCTTTATATTCGGCAAAATTTCAAATTATGATAAGTAAGAAACATGGTCTTTTTACAGAATTAATCTAAAAAAATATCCAAGGAAAAAATACCGATGTAGAAGAATCTAATCACTATGAGAAAAATTCTCTATGAACAAACAATTTAGATATAAAAATAATTAAAATAAGTAACTTAATATGGAATATAAAGTAAGTATAAGAAGGAACGCTTTATATTCGGCAAAATTTCAAATTATCATAAGTAAGAAACATGGTCTTTTTACAGAATTAATCTAAAAAAATATCCAAGGAAAAAATACTGATGTAGAAGAATCTGATCACTACAAGAAAATTTTCTATGAACAAACAATTTAGATATAAAATAAAAAAAATAATTAAAATAAATAACTTAATATGGAATATAAAGTAAGTATAAGGAGAAATGCTTTATATTCAGCAAAATTTCAAATTATGATAAGTAAGAAACATGGTCTCTTTACAGTCATAATTAATCTAAAAAAATATCCAAGGAAAAAATACCGATGTCAAAGAATCTGATCACTAGGAAAAAATTCTCTATGAGCAAACAATTTAGATATAAAATATTTAAAATCAGATGAATTGAAGAATTCATTAAATAAAAAACTGAAACAAACTAGAAGATTTAGCGATTTGAAAATATTATGTTCATGACCACATAATTTCAAGAACTAAAAATATGAAAAGTTATTAAGAAAGTTAATTATTATTATCGTTGAGTTAATAAATTAAAAGATATATTTAAAAAGGAAAATCATTAAAGTTTAAAACATGATTTATACATAATAAATTTGGAGAAAAAATTTTTTTGGAGGTGTCAAGCGCAATTATACGTTTAATTATCGTAACCGTTTCTTCTCAGAGATTCTTCAGAGATTTCCTCAGAGATCTCACAGTAAGTTAATACCTGAAGCAGCGTGGACTCGAAACTGCCATAACTGTGGGAAATTCGCAACTTTCCATGTGACAAAGCGAGCTATATCTTTGGCGCCTAGCACGGCTTGCCCTAAATTTTTGCACAACTGCAGTGTGTGAACGCCGATCTGTCTAAAAAGCGATATATGTAACTAATCGCAGAATCGTTTGTCGACGTCGTTCCACCACATCACAAGCGTCGTACGTTTCACAACGCTCGCAAAAACGTATATTTACTGTGGAAAAACGCATATAGTTAGTGTCGCTCCGTTACACATAGAAGTATAACTGCAGCGAAAAATTTGATAAAGATCAATATTTGCAGATACGGTAAAATTATGAAACGCAATTTATATTTGCGGGTATACCTTGAGAGAGAGAGAGAAAAGAAGAGAGTTCAACGAATCAAAGATATACGAAATGTAAATTTTCCAAAAACGACACGAACGCACCTGCGTGTTTACGTACGTTCGACCTCACTCCGAATGGCTTTCTTCGTGCTAATTAATACTACTAAACTTTTACCGGAGCTACTGGAAGATGGCATCACGCGATGCCGGTGGCGTCGCGACGCCAAGCAGAGAGATCGCCGAATCCGGCCTCGTGATTGGCCGCCTTCGAATGCCGAGCCTGCGGCTCGCTACGTGGCGCTGCCGGCGCCGAAAAGTGGCCGGGCGCCGCGAAGATGCCGGAATCGTGAAACGAGCCGCCGTTACTCGGCCCTCGATCCCGACCCTTCGAGGGTGCGTGGACGTTCGCGGATCGGCTAATCGGCAAGTCGACGTTCGCTCGCCCGAGGACGATTCGGAGATCGGGTGAATTTTGGCGCGTCGATCTCGTTTTCGCGCGCGATCGCGATTCGAAATTGGCGCGTGACGTCACGTGAACGAGGGCGGGCGGAGGGGCCAGTTGCAGTTCGCGTCGCGAGTTCGAATGAGCGGGATCGCGGCGAGAGATCGGCGGCGGATTCGCGAATTCGTGCGGAATCACGACGCGGACGCGGTCGAGAGGGGCCGGGCGACGATCGGCTTCGGATCGCGCGTCGAATTCGCCTCTCGAGAAACCGCGTAGGTGTACACGTAAGTCCCACCCTGATCTCGTATTCGCGAAACGCATGAATGTATACCGTGAACGCACGTAATGGCGTCGCCGGGGACGCCGAGTGCATCGGTCGTGAATTTCGGAGGCGCGAATTCGCGAGGGATCATTTCGCTGAAATTCTCGTTTTAAAGTTGAGCTTGCGCGACGCGAATATCGTGAACGACGACGAATTTCGAGCACGTAGGCGCGATTTACGAAATTAAGGGCCACTCAATCGACTCTCCGATAAAATTTAATCGACGAATTGACTCGCCCAGGAAGCTAAATTAATCGTACTTGTCGTCATTTGGGCGCAGAAATGATGATAAGTCACGCCAATTGTTTACTATCTGGGTGACTGAGTTAATCGTCGATTAAAGTTAATCGGAGTTGGTCGAAATGCCAAAAAGCTGATCCTGTAATGCTCTGTAATACTCCGTAATACTCCGAAAATCCCGGAGAAAGGACAACGCGAACGTGAGAAATTCATCAGGCATATTCCGCGCGATCGTAGCTTCAATCGTACGGTATATAGCTTTGCATGTGTGCGAATAAATTAAAACGCGGATACCTTTTTATACATATATATATGTGGTAATTAATCGTTTACCCTGTAGAAATTGTCGGTATGTACGCACGTAGATAATTGGTCATATTTGTACGTGCAGTTGGTAGCGATCTAGTATGGAAGTTGCAATGTGTACGTGTGTTGGTCATAGTGTGGTACGTAGTCTGGGCGATGATAACGATAATTTTCTACTTTAGCCGTTGGTCATTGCCCGCAGTTGCATTTTTGCGGAAATCGAAAGCGCGAAGGTATAGCTGGTAATGTCGTGATTATCTTGCGAGATTATTTGCATGCGCGATTCAGTATTTCGTGTACGTAGTTATCGACCGAAACCATGATTATAAATCCTATTATTTTAGCTATGATTGATAACTCGGTCTATTTCATAAAAATTAGAAATGGTTCTGCCGACGCGCTCGCGAGATGGCTGTAGTTGATCTACGATCGACGCGGTCGCGAAGTCCCTCGATAACCTCGATTTACTTTACGACTGTCATATTTAAATTATTACTGTATACTTTCGGAGTATTGCGGAGAATAAGTGTCGCGTAGAAATAAACGCGTGATAGTGGGAGTGTCGAAATAATCAACAGCGTCGACGAAAATAAGGGATTTTGGCTTAACTTGGCCGTCGATGATTTGATTCAAATGCCGTTGTTGCGTCCAGATAATAGTTGCGCTGCTAAAATACGTCACTAATATCGTTGATTGTGAAGATTATTTCTATTTTAGAAGATCTACTCCGCAATTACCGTGTCCTGAATTAATAAATTTATTAAAATTGCAACAATAGTATTGACACGCGTTAACATAAATATCTGAATAATTAATTTATAAAGTGTTCCTAATTTTTCCCAGCGCGAAAATTCACATTCGGAAAACGATTCGCGTCCGTATCTGATTCTGTCCCTGGCTCCAATTAAGTCGAAAGTGATAACGCTTACGAAAGTCTCTTTTAATTTCGTCCGTCGAAAATCAATGTCCGAAACGCGAGTGTGTAGTTCCTATTCGTAGTGTGTGGATTACCTATATATATGGATTACAGCGAGGGAGAGCATCCAGCGCATCGGTGGATGGTAAATTTTATTTTTTAAATACTGATGACTTTTCAATATAAATGAAGAAGGAATAGTATATAACATAGAACCCCCTCAAGTAAAATTCTGGAGAAGTTTCGTGTATAATATTGCATTATTCGCTGGCTCACTTATAATTTATTGTTAAATATTACTTTATCGTAATATTGTAATATTTAAAATATTACACTGTGTGTGATAAACTCGTATTGTCTTGTATCGTAGTGCCTGGATTACCTATGTGGATTACCTATATGGATTACAGCGAGGGAGAGCATCCAGCGCGTCGGTGAATGGTAAGTTTTATTTTTTAAATACTGATGACTTTTCAATATAATGAAAGAGGAATAGTATATAACATATATAGAACCCCCTCAAGTAAAATTCTGGAGAAGTTTCGTGTATAATATTGCATTATTCGCTGGCTCACTTATAATTTATTGTTAAATATTACTTTATCGTAATATCGTAATATTTAAAATATTATATTGTGTGTGATAAACTCGTGTTGTCTTGTATTGCCAAAGGAAATTTAATTATGCAATTTCTTTTCTGCAAATATGATAGATTTATGCAAAATTACAAAGATCAGAAATTGAAACGAACCGAGATATTGTACTATAAAGATCTAAAATTATTATGAAAACGTTATTTGTTTATATTCCAATAACATATTATTTATGGGAACTATTAACATGCGATATTTTCGTTTAAGTATGTTTTATTAGGAATTTATTTCTCGGAATAATATTTATCTTACACACAATGTAATAACAATTTTCAATCTCTTATTCTCTTCGCAATATTTTAAAAAACTTTACGAAAATAGCTGGTGACAGTGTCTTTGAATGTGCGTATAAGTATTTGTAATAATTCCGAATATTGTTAAAAACGTGGAAAATCCCGTAAAAAAAACCAAACGTTTTAATTTAATTCTTTTCCTGACTCGACAAAAATTAGGAGTCAAAAATAAAAAATTCGAAATAAACTTTCTTGTTACACTGCGAATGAACGTTTTACGAGCGGGATGCTTTGTGATATGAACCAAGATATAAATTTGTCTTTTTACACGCGACAATCGGGTATGCAACTTACTTGGGGCCGTCTTGTGGCATCGGCGACGTGGACTGTACGTCCCTGTCCGACCGCGTGGCTGTTCTGAAAAAAAAAAGAGCGATTGGTCTGAGATTTACTTTGAATACTGATACTTTGTGTTCTAATTGCAACTTTCAGTACACAATATTTTCTTGTCACCGTAAATATTTTTATCGATTTTATACGCACATATTTATCGATAAATTTTGGCTCCTCCAATTACTCTACATTTATATATTATATAAATTATTGGTATTCGTGTCGATATTTTTTTAAATATTCATACGTTTCGTTTCTTTATAACTTCATTGCTATTTTCTTAAGAAGATTTTTCAAAAGACGAAATGTCTGCTATTAATATTATAATTATCGAAGTGATTATCATTAGTTGGAAGAAAAGTATATTTTGAAGACAAACAGCTTATCGTAGAAAGCTAATTAATTTTGTGTGAGATTTTTAAAAAATCATCTACGAACTGAGCGTAACTGATAGATTTTTGAGAGGCAAAATAATAAAGGTTTCCGATGTCAGTAGGACGAGCCGCGTCGGCGAAACAGAGGCAAGAACAAAAACCGGTAGAAGATCGATGAGTTGTACGATATTCACGGCAATTGCTGCGCGACCGCAAGATCGATCGTATCCGCGAACTTGCACTTTCCCCGACGATTCGTTCTCCACGGATCACAGAACAACGGCGCCTATTACTTCGTGACGCGAAATCATTTCACAGATTCTCGTTAACACGCTTCTCTCTCCCTTTCCCTTTCTTGCCGTTTCACTGGCCGATATCAGAGATTAAGGATCGTGTCTACTTTTGTGATACACAGTACATGTCTTTCAATACACGTCGCAAAATTAGATACACTGTGGACTAGATAAATTTTCATTCTGTCGTGTAGAAACGTAGATCATTAAAAATCATTGCTAAAAATGCATATTCTTTTATATATATTCTATTATTTAACGTCTAATTATTATTGCTATCAGAGTTTCATGGTAAAAATATAAATTTTAATTGGTAGATGTTAAAATTGGAAAAATGTGGCTATCAATAAGTTAATACATGGTGAAACAAAGTTATACGTTTTTAATTAACACTCTTCTAAAAATGATAGGGAAATCTAAATGCATTACACGACAAAAAGAAAATTAATAGTTTCTATCTTTTCATTCCTATACCAATAACGGTAAATATATTTGACTAAATCACGAGTTTCAGTTATGATTAATTGAAGCATTTTTAACTTCTTTTATATCGAATAATACATCCGTACTTTCGCATCAAATTTTAATAAGAGATCTTGACGAATTTTCTAGGATTCTAGACGATTGAATTACTTACTTTTTAAACCATCGAAATGTCAGTAGTTTCTTCATCGCGCACAATAATTCACGGAATTCACGGAACGGAGTCATGTATCGTGACAATCATGATACCACACTAATCTTAGGTTGGGCTTGTCAGCCTTTAGAGCCTCGACCAACCTTGGAAGGAACACGAAAATCAACAAACCTATTCTCTCGTAAACAGTATTTAATATATATATCATACGATATTATATATTCTATTCGTAACGGTGAAATGGATGATAATGGATTCTTTCAAATACAGAGATATAAGAACTTCTGATGAAATGTCGATAATTTAAAGAAATTTATCGATAATTTAAAGAAATTTATTATATAAATTTTATTTTTTTAACTTTGTTCATTTTGACAGTTAAAGTGAATTATTAAATTAGGACAAATTGAAATTAATTTCAAATTAACCGGAATGAAAAATATAGTTATCTATTACTATTTTTTATTTTATTTTATCGAAAATCATTAAACTTTTTATTGGAATATTAAATTTTTATAATGAAATAGTGATGTGAACTTTTTCAAACAATTCGGCAGTAATCTATTACGTGTTTTATATTAATAAAGCTGAGACTGTGTGGTAGTAAATATTATACATATCAATTATATCATGATTTATTGCAAGCATTCTCATTCATTACACAAAACGGATTTCATGGTTTTCACGCGGGTTATTAAACTTATAAATCATATTCTAAACGAGAATAATACGATTATAAAGCAGATTCAACCGGTAGAAAGTTTCTTTGTATTTTAAATTACCTATAGGCAATTACCTGGCAAATTTAATTTAATGCGAGATAATTTTTGTTCATTAAGATGCGGATAGCACCACTATTATTCTCATAGAAAATAAATGATTATTTATGAAGTTACAACGTCTTTGTGATCGTCGTTTATACGCCTCATTGAGCATCAGTTGAAAGTTTATGTAGGAAGATACCATAAATTCACTTACAAGATCACTCGCCGTAGAAATCCGTTTATGTAATAACTGCAGTATAAAAGCTGTATAAAATGTTATACATTGTTGCGAGATGAGACTCTACAAAGGCTTTTAATTCACTCAGACAACTAGTATCATTTATACAAATTCACGTTTATACAAAATCACAAGATCGAAGCGTTAAGACTTTCGATACTGTGATCGATAGAAAGTGTACGGAACTTCTGGAACATCCTATATACGTTCGCGATTAATAAATGCTCTCTCATTATTAGACGTATTTTTATCGCGTTCATTCGAGCCGATAAGTTCCGCATCGCTCATTAGCTTGCGCTTGGAAATGTATAAAATTCTGTCGATAATTTTCTCGCCACAAGAGAGGAGATTATTTTCCGCGCGCGATACATATTTTCGAACTGCGATAAAACATTGCGGACCGTGCGCGTGTTGTTACACTCGATTGTGAAACGTCGTTTACTTAATGAGAAAAATATTTGCGTACCTTGACAGATAAAGTGATAAACTGGAAAGTTGCGTGTATATAGGTGCGAGCTGGCTAATTTACGATTATTCGCACGATGCACTTTCGATTCGGCCATTCTGCGTGCGCGCGCTGAGAAATATGGAACGCGTTTCCACGGGCTCGCATGTATCTTAATGAGTATTAAGAGGCGTTAATTAGAGAGGAAGGTGCCAACGGGCAAGATACTTGATTTTTCGATTCATTAGCAAGTAAGTCACGCTATTTTTTTTTTATTCGACATCCATTTTTATATTCAGTCAGATTGCAATCGAGGAAGTATCGTGTGCATTAATAAACATATGCATATAATATATATATATATAAATCCACAAGTCGAGGAAGTCCATCTCCATGCCTGTATTTATCGTTTTGATCATTATTGATTATTAAGAAATATTAAAAATCAAGATTCTTAATTAACAAATATACTTGATAAATTCAAATTAATTTTACAATACAGGCAACACTATCTCTGTGCCTACATTTATCGTTATATTGATCATTATTAATTATTAAGAAATATAATTAAAATCAAGATTTCTGATTAACAAATACCCTTGATTAATTCAAATTAATTTTAAATTGCAGTTGGACTGTTCTATATTCAATTGCGTTATTTTTTAAAATTATAACTACTTTAATTAACTATTTTAATTACTTTAATTAATTAATTTAATTTAAATTGCAGTTGGACTGTTCTATATTCAATTGCGTTATTTTTTAAAATTATAACTACTTTAATTTAATTAACTATTTTAATTACTTTAATTAATTAATTTAATTGTTAGTATATTTGTATGTTTGTAGCACATAGCATCTAAAAAAAATATTTTTCCCTTAAAACTTTTTCTCTAAAAAAAAAAATCCAAATTCTCTAGGATATAACATTAAAATTCGTTCTGGGACAAGAGTTACGTACAAGATTCCAGTCGTCCCGGTTTAGATAAAATTTTTTATCACCTCCGGCGGCGCTCGCGAACTTCACGGCTTTCTTTGTTGTACTCGCTCAATGGGACAATGGCCGTTTCTTTTTATACTTGTCGCCGGCGCGGCGCAGGTTCCGCGCGGCTTTTAAATACCGGTGCAGTTTTACAGCGGTTTACGGGACTAAAGCACGGTAATGCCGCGCAATCTCGCGCCCACTCGACGAGGAGATAATGGCGGTCATTACGGGCCCGCAAGTTACACGGCTGGGTGAAACGTCTAGTTAACGGTACGCCCCCGTTGCCCCAAACTCACCGCGGGCGGCGGGAGGCCCAGTCACTATTCTTTCGGGCCGTAATTAGCCCGTGTCTTCGACACGCTCGAACTTTTCGGAACATTTTCATGAGATGGAAAGCAATCGAGAGATCTCCTCGCGTGGAGAGAAACTCGGAAGCAAATCGTGGAGTCTCTATCTCTCCCGCGCGCGCGCACATGTTCTTCCGCTTATGTTACTCAGATCGGAGCTGATACGCGTCTCTCTCTCCCTCCCTCCCGACCCTCTCTCTCTCTCTTTCTCTCTCTCACGCAGGCGTAGCATCGATCGAGCGAGCCGTTGATATCGCCCAATTATCTTTATGTAAATTCACGATTGAGATGTCTATCGCGCGATGCATTTCTCTTCCGTTCGATAGATATTGAGCTCGATAAAATAGCGACTGTTTAATAAATGCGTTCATGCTGCATATCTCCCAGATAGATATTTGTTTGAATTGCTCCCGAGAGAGACTAAACGCATAATAAACGATAAATATGCGCGCAGTTAATTGCAATAGGAAAAAAATTATCTTGACAAACATCAGCAATTATTAAAAATTATTAGATGTTTTTCAAGTGACTTGTACGAAAGTGTTTCGTTGCGAGAGATATCCCGAGTATAATGCTAGGTATCTAATGAGTTTATTCGCTTTAGAAATTATGCGTTTCTTTATAGCTTAATGTAGTAAAAAAATTTAAATATGTAACGAAAAAGAAATAGTACTGTAGATTCCAAAATCAAACATTCTTGTTTAACGTAGAGTTATACTGTCGATACATTTAACATTTGTTATATTTAACTGATTAATTTTTTGGCGCTTTTATCGGCTTTATTTGATACGAATGTCGGCGACCTTCACCTCGAGCATCATACGTCGATACAAACTTACTGTTTTCTTAAGTCAGAAAATTATTCAAACTGCTCTCTCTTTCCCTCTTTCTTTCTCTTAAAATGTGTTCGAAGATAATAACGGAAATGATATAACAAATATACAGGATATTTAAGGCAAAGTACATTAGTTTTCTTTTAAATTATACATAAATAAATCATCAATAAGGGAGATAATAAATAGATGTCAGAAGCTTGATTTAACGCTTTAAACAAATTACGATTGCCTCAAGAACACGAGGCATTAGAAGAGAAATATAACATATTATTGCAAAAATTCCACGAAATGACAGAAAACTTAAGTTTAAATTTACAAGAAATTACAGTCACACATAAACAAGCAGAAATGATTAATCAGAACAACACTTAAAATTTAAAAAAATTAAAATTTATTTGTTTTAATAGCATTTAAGTTATTCTAGAACAAATAAATTTTAATTTTTTTAAATTTTACGTGTTATTCTGTAATAAAAGCGGTAAGACGATATATTGTTATATTTTTCCTGTAAATATGCATATGTAGGATGACGGTCGGATTCGAACTTGGAACCTTTTAACTACAAGTCGATCGTTCTTGTACAGAGCAACACATAAAATCCATATTGTGACAATCGATTCTGCTCTAAATATTGTTGCTGAACGAAGGCATGACTTTAGCAAATAATGAATTCGACGATGAAACAGCAAGTTTTCAAAAACGAATAAAACGTAATGTATATAAAGCAGCTTATATAATTATTAAACATAAACACAGGCACCTACCCCATAATTCGATCAATAAATCGAGAAATCAGGCGATAATATAAAAACAGATTAAATCAGACACACGAAGATCGTAAAATTCGAATTGAATACTCTGATACATTTCTTCTAACTCTTTTCAATATTTTCCTCCATTACTAATTCATTAGCACTTTCCTCTTGCATCTTCGATTCGAAATGAAGACGGAAACTTACTTGAACCACTTAACTATCTTGCACACACCCATGCTGCACGTGGGGATGTCCCGCGCTGCTCAACTTCGACAGGTTGATTGACGTCGCGAGGCCGATGAGCACTACGAAACTCGATTGAAGCATGCACGAGAGTGCCGCTTCGCGCGCGATCCGCTCCCTTCTCACGACTGAACTGCGAAACTGCGGCGGTAAATGTGTATACGGACGCGGATACCTCGGTACTCTCTGATAGTTCCGATGTAGGCGTAGTTTTAGGCACGGCTCGCCAATCATTCCCACTCCGTTTTTTCGTCCTGCAACTTTCGATTGATCGACTGATCCCACTACAGCGAAAAGTGTGCTAAACGGAAGGACAGAGGTATTGAAGTAGATACCGATTTAAAGTTGGAAAATCCAATCCATTCAAGCATTTATAAAAACACACACACACATATACACATAATTAGAAAGAGGTCCAATTAGAATTGTGCACAAAGGATAGTGTTGCAACTGGTATCAAAAGATTTAAAAGGATTGAGTTATATTCAGATTTATACAAATTTATTGTACATATATTAATACTTATACAATTAGTATATTATAAATTTTATAAATTTAATAAATTTAACAACGATTAAATAATAATAATAATTTTTATAATTGAATATATTATTATTTACGATTAAATTATTACAAAAATTTTGTTTGGAAGTAGAAAATTAAAGTTGCATAAATGCATAAAATCTGAAAAAATTCTTCGATAACGATATTTAATGTAAAAAATTTTTGTATAAAAGAAACTAATAATATTTTAATGTTATTTGTTGTAGCACTAATTTCTATTATTTATAAAATTTCGAATACCCCCTAAACAATTATATCACTAAAAGCTCCTATGTTAAATAATTAATACTGCTTGATAATAAAGATTTTTATTAACCATTGCGGATAGGAACGTTTAGCTGACAGGCGACAAAAGAATCTTGTGCAATTGCATGGTATTCTCGCGATAATTTAAGACCGCTGGAAAGCTGAATTCTCAGACAGTAATTACACAATTCTGAAGCTAGCCGGCTTTGTACGGGATCTCCGTGCGTAACGAAGTGTTCTGATATCGCGTTCCGAGTCTGCGCCTTGGCACGCCTTTTTTCGTCGGGTTTGATACACGAGAGCATACCGGTACCGGTACAATCGGTGCGATGACTGATAACGAACAATTCCGACGCGCAGTCGGCAGTACAAACGTAGAATTGAGCCGTCGCGTGTAGGATGAACTGTATTTTGTAACTTCAGAGCAAAGGTACAAGGGGACTCTTTAATTTTATCTTCATGATATAATTACATCCCTGTATCTAATTATTAGCTAATTTTGTTTGTAACATTTCGGTGAAATTTATAGAATTTAATAAAGATTTTTGTCCGAAAACAAATGGAATAGTGCTTGATATCTTTTATAAAACATTTGAATAATTATTCGAGACTAACTAGTTTTTCACAATAATGACATATATATTATTTTTAATTTTGTTTAATCTTATAATAGAATTTATATTAGAAAGCATAGAAAAAACTAAAGTACACTTAAATTAAAATAAAACAAACTTGATATTTACTTTAAAAATCTAAATTAAAAAGAAATATCCCAAATAAATCTCCAAAACTAAAATTAACTAAAATAAACTAAAATTAATTAAAAACTCCAAAATTAAAATCTATTACGAAGAAAAAACAACATGCTTTTCATACATATTAGAATTGATATTAATAATAGCTTTAATTCAAGTCGAAGATTCGCTGCGAGAAATTTTTCTACGAGACAGATTCAATCATAAAAAATACACATTTAACCAAGAAATTATATAATGAACTAAAAGAAGATATTACAAGAATAAATTACTTACACTAATAAAGATAGTTAAAAAGAAATGGAGTTTTTCATTTCGTAGTTTTTATTATTTTTATTAATTACAACACGAATGTGCTTTTGCTTCGCTATTATCAATAATATGCTTTACATATATCAATTTTTTAAAACATGGTTTTCATAAATTTGGCTCTGTACAAAACACAATTATACTTAATAATAATATTTAACATTTTAATATTTTCAAATAAATAAATAAATATGAATAGAAAAAAGGCAAAGAAATTGTAAAATAATTCATTTTTTTGACAATCAATATTATCAGAAAATATACAGCATTTGTGTAAAATTAACGAGTATTTTTATCTTCTTTGCGTCTTCATCACGATTCTTCCTTCAAGGTGCTTTCATCTCTTGTTTCACGCAGAATTTGAATGCCTCCCAACCCTCGTTGCGTTGTTGAGACTACAAAAGATCGAGTTATTTCGCATTAGTCGACAGTAATTGTAATATTTCCACTGCATTTTACAATTCATCCAATAATATTATAAGCACCGTACGAGTATAATAGAGTTTGAGCTGTAGAGCCTGAGAAATGGCAACCATTCGTACAGATCTGTCTTGTAGCAATCGTTACGCTTGGCCATTATTATATTTTATACGGGATATTACACATCTTCTAAAGTAATTCTTCAAAAATGGGATGCTATATATTTTCAGAGAGTCTATACATATAAATCTGAGACCTTACCTTAAAGCCTCTATGCAGCCGATCTTTCATAATCGCTATGAACTCTTTGTAGGACAGTAGACCGTCCCCGTCGTCATCGAACAGTGCGAACACCGTGTCAATTATGTGAGTCGAAAGCATCATTCCCGTGCATATTTTTACAGCTCGTTGAAATTCATCTGGAAAAGAAGATATTTCGATATTAAAAAAAAATGTAACAATGAATCACGTTTGAAACATTTAATTCACATTTAAGGGAAGTAAAATCGGTAAATTTAAAATTTCAATGAATATTTTGACGTGCAACACAAATCGATTTTGATTATAACTTTAATTGCTCTTCACCTTTGGATATGGGATGATCGGCCAACGTATACATTCGCATCGCTATCGCGAAATCGTCCAGAGTGTTTAGAAATTGATAGAAGCGTCGGAATTCCTCGAACGTGATACCAATATGCAAGTCCGCCCGATCCAACATTCTGTCCAAATACTTGTCATATCTGCGAATTTAATTCACTTAATTTATTCTACGCGATTTTTAGATTAATTAACAAATACGGCAGACGTGGATCGAAAAATATTCGAATAGAAAAAATTTTGGACGCCACTCTAAGCTCGAAACGAAAATACATAGAGATGTTAGTAAAATGTTAATAGTTTATCGGTGCAATCGGTTCTCATGATTACAAAATTATCACTTTTTTTTTGGAGCACAGTTTTTCACAATTATTCAACTTACTCGTCAGGTTCGAGATACGTGTATCGCAACAAGATTTTGGCAAAATCCAATTCGTTGATCGTGTCGTGTCCCTTGCTGTATTCGTGGAACTCCAGCTCCAATACTTCATGTTGTAAGTTCTCCATGAAATGCTTGAAATCTTCGTACCTTAACTCGTTAGTGCCGTCTTTGCCAAAAAAGTGTACCATCAAGGTAGTATCCACAGCGTGACGTCGTTGCAAGCCCTATGTGAATACAAAATGAACACTCATGCTAAAAACTCCTCTAAGCTATTTTTGTTTTGCTAGATTAATAGATTCTGTTACCGATTGCGAAAGATTTTTTTTTTCAGTTATTACTACTAACTTCTTACTACTGCATCGTGTTTCAAAATACACATAAATAAATACCTGATCGTCGTCGATGAATTGGCCTTGAATTTCTTCTGGCGTTTTCTGGCGTTTCTCTAATTGTTCCAATTCCTCTTTGGTTTCGCACCCATGACGACCCCTCCAAGCGTGACTGAATATCTTCTCCATCTGCAGATGAAGATGAAGGTGTAAGAGATGGAAGGAATTGCTATCGCGCGTGCGACCGATCGGCGCGATAAACACACATTTTTACTAACGAACACATGTGCCGGGATTACATGATATAAAGGTAATAAAGTGACGACAGTGTTTTGGCGTCCAGTGTTAGTAACATCTGAAATAAGCGGCAAATCGTGTTAGAGCACGACTTATTGACATGTTAAATTTGTTAGAACACACAGGTATTTTTTTTTTCGAGCTGCACATTAATTATTGAATATCGATGTAAGTAAAATTTGAAACGGATTAGATGGTGATAGCATATACATTTGATTGTACTGGATCTGCGTGTACATTCATGAAGATTAGTATATACATGTCTTCGTAAATATATTCCATCCTAAAATATAGCTAAAAAATTGTGTTAAATAATGTAGGCATAAAGATAAAAAGGATAAAAAAATAAAGATAAAAGATAAACGATAGAAAATATTAGAGAGACATAAAATGTTGAATAAGAACAAAATGTTATGCAAAAATGGAATTAATTTGGATAAATGTTAAACACAACACGTATTAGCTTACAGTATTTTACATATTTGCAAACTTACATAAGAATTTGTGACGATTTCGTCTGATTTATTCGGATGAACTTCGCGAAGTTTTGCCTTGCCTACATTCTCTTCGCTCGAAGAAATTATGGCACGTAACTAATTTGTTGAAATAAATAAAAAAGCATTAGCTTTGGGAGGGGACAGAAGATAATGCAAAAATTAATTAAATTAATGAAATAAAAATGTTAATCGAAAAAATATTTGTAATAAAAAATTATAAATTATAAATGATTAGTAAATATTAAATAAATCTTTTAAATGTAATAAAAAGTAGTAATAATGAATAATTAGTATGTAATACATTTTATTTAATTTCTTTAAATATAACAAATTTTCCAAATTTTATTTAAAAATTCTGAAAAATGAGCCATTTATCTTAGCAATGTAAATATTCTGCAAAGAAACAATTATCATTTGCAGTAAATGCAATTTTAAAATATGAAGTAATATATTTTTAACAAAATCTCAAAGACTTCCAGAGATAAATAGCTCACGGCGGTAAATGGAATAGCAAATTGTACAGCCGTTAGAGAGGATTTCATAGCTGAAAGAGATATAACGGCATTCTCATATTGATTTTCTAAACATCAGTCGATGTTTAACTTCTGACATCGTTCTGATTGAGGAAAAGTTTTCTGTGAAACTTTTCTGAAACTCACTGCACGTTTTGTTGGCTCGTCGAGGTCCCGTTCCTTCAGACTGCCGCCGAGTAAACGACGAATCTGTGAGAATAACAAAATCTCTATTGATGCTAATCGATAATTAGTATAAAAGTTTCTCCTTGGTACGTCCATCACCTAAATGTTCCAGTTAGCTTGTGCAAACTATAGTTCAGTAAAATTCCATTCGGTATGCATCTTTCATCTTATAATTAAAAAAAATTCTTAATATTTGACAATAGAAATATTTTCCTTTTATTTTCTAGCTCGAGATTTACATTATTAAATAAAAACAAGATAAGTAATATAATTAAATAAATAATGTGCTAACAAAACACATATATATTCAGAACACAATGTGCAATGTTATTGTTTAAATAATTTCATCTTATTTTTACTCATTAAAAATCATAAATTAATTAGCTTGCAAAAAAACATTATTATTTATTCTACTGCTATAAAAATGAGAGAAGCAAACTTGGGTTTTATTTTGTAAAGTAGAATAGAAAAAAAATTAATAAATGAGTCTTTATTAATAATTCTATTAATGTTCCTGTATATACAATTATTAAAAACGTGCGCGCATGCGATGCAGCTATCTTACCACAAGAAATTCAGTTTTGTCGACTCTCTCGTTTCCGTCGGTATCAAACATATTGAAGGCAATTTGGAAACCAGTTTTCGGCTCTGTAATGAAATCAATTATCGTCGTAAATTTACAGCATTAAATTGAGATGCTTAACTAACGAAGCATTTTTATGGCGGGTCATATTTATATCTAATCGTACATTTAACTTATAAGACGTGGTGCGTAACGTGAAGTCAACACCTCCACTTTTGATATTAATGTTCTGCGAATGAAAAAAAATCGCAAGTAGAGCAATAAATGAGCTTGATTATGACATATAGTCGAACTTTTTTTTTGGTGGTGGAGGTGCTAAATTCACAAATTTGTCAATGAATTCGCGGATAAAAGAAAGGGCACGACAAAATATAAGGTATTTATCCAATTTTTCGCGAATTCTGAGTAATACATACGCGTATTATTAAAATTGTCGTACAATAATTTATACCAAGTACATCAAACAAATTGAACGTTCAGGGCAAATTACAGCTTTTCCAAGTAAGCGGATAACGGCCATTGCTTTTACGTGAAAAAGATGAACATCTCATCGGCCGATTTTTTCCTCCATAACGTATGGTTTGTGTACCCAACGCCGCGATCGAGCCTCGCGTTTCATTTAAGCGTTTTGTGCATTTAAGTCATAATTTGCCTCGTGAATATATGTAAAGCGCTACCGGCGGAAAACTTACTCGTCAGGATGGACAGAAGAAACAGGTACTCCGTATAAGAAATAATTCCTGAAAGTAGAAACGCGAGCAATTTATAATCGCGAAGTGATGTAATTTAGCTGCTAAAAAATTGTATATCTAAAATAACTATATTGCGTGTATTGTTTGATATTTCATACATTAATAAATTAGAAACAGAAGAGAATATATTTTTTTTGTCTTAACTTTTATAAATTATAATAATTAAATTTTTCATTACCGCACGAAGTCATGATTTCACATATTTCACGCAAACGTATAAATGTATAAAATCTTGGTGAAATAATATTCTCTTTTCAAGTAATGTATGTATATTTTTATCGAATTAATAATTTAAATTTTTAATATTTAATTTTATGATTGGGTATTTTTCCCGCAATACTAGATCGAGACGTTATAAAAAATTCAGGCAATATCTCGAGAGGCGAATCGTTACTCCACACGATTCCATCTCGGTGTCTCGTAAATTCTCATAATTTCGTCGAATTCTTTCCTAATTTTCCCGCTAATCCGCATTTAAGGATAACGAGAGGTCTGCAGTATTAAACACGTTTACGACATCTGGAAGTAGAATATGTCAAACACATTGGATACGCCTCACGAAATTTCAGGTATTCTTTGAGAGAACCATCGCCCTCGAGGATAGGGGGGGAGGGGGAATCAATAACTTAGAATTTAATAGCAAAAGCGAGACCCGCGGACGCACCTAAATTCCAATTTTAAACATACTCCCTCCGCGGCGCGGTTTAGCTCGTACGTAACATAAGGCTACATTCACAGACCGTAGCCACCCTATAAAGTCCCTACGTGATTTCGAAAGCGAAAGAAAATTAACAGCCAAAAGAAAGTAAAGAGAGTCAATCAAGTGTCGATGATGTTTCATGCATGTAAATCTGTTGTTTCGCCAGTATTTAGATATAAACAAGGTTGGGAAAGTTACTTTGTAAAAGTAACTAGTTACAGTTACAGTTTTTGTCTCTCGAAAAGTAATTGGTTACAAGTTACCGACTCTGAAAAGTAACATGTTACAGCTACAGTTACTCAAAAAGTAACGAATTGTTACTTTTCAGTTACTTTTAATAGAGCAACAATAGCATTATAAAAAAAAATTTACATTTACATATATAATTTTATTTAAAAAAGAAAAGTAATGCGCGTATTTAAATATGAGCATTTAAATATTTCACATAATTACAACATTACGATTAGGTGATTGAGCGAAAGTGTTGCATAATTTTTGATCCATGAAAGTGATGATTTGATATATGTAAAATAACTGTAAAAATAACTATTAAATTAGTTACTAGTTACTTAAAAAATCTAAGTTAAGTTACAGTTACACATGTAAAGAAAGTAACGAAATTAAGTTAGTTATTGAAAAAAAAATAGTTGTAACTGTAACTTCGTTACAAGTAACGAGTTACTTCCCAACCTTGGATATAAAATATGTTTCTAATGTCAGAAAAATATTTTTAGAATTATATATCCATAAATATGTATCGTCCAGTTTTAAAATTCAATATTGAACTTGAATTTGTGTGTCATAAATATATATTATTTAAAAATTTGATAAATTAATATTATTTTTTACGAGTGCATTAAAAGAAATTATTTGATGCCTGCGATAATAAATAATGTAAAAAAATACACAGAAAAATATGTATACTATATTATAGACGTGCATAGAACTAAAATTTCTAATAATTTTCTGTAGACACGAATAGATTTGAAATGTGTAAGAAATTGTGATTTATAGTATCACTTGCGATTTACGGAGAGTAAGATATCTCGACGACACTTATTGTTATAGCTTAAATAGATCAGCGAAATAACTGTCGTAATACTGCGAAAAGTAGCGCGTTGACACAATAAGGAAGTGTAGCAACTAGATATTACGATTACGATCGCCCGCGAATCAACTTGGTGCTCAGATTATTATTGTTACACGATGAGGGTGACGCCATCCCGGTCGTTACGACGGTCGTTTCTCGTCTCGATAGCGCCCAATCTCCTTAAGTCGTTCTTAATTGTAACGGCCCCGCGACACTCTATACCGAGTACCGAGTGTCCTTAAAAGCGGACACCCGTTTATCTGCGCGCCGCGGTATAATTCCGCCTCGCACGCACGCGAAAAGGGGAAGAAAAAAAAGAGGAGAAAGCGGCCGCGTGGCGGCGGCGCGCAGGGACGAGGAACTCGTTATTATTGAAGAGAGGTGCGAAACTCAGTGCCGTCCTCCTCCCCTCCGTCGTTGGCTCCCCCTCGGCCGATTATTTGCATTTCCATTAGCGCGACGAACGCGTGGTGGCACGCAAAGAGCAGAAAGGAGAAAAGCGGCGAGGAGCGCGAGAGAGGCGCTACCGCGTCATTAAACTAATGATACAGCCCTGTGTCTGTCGCGACGAGCACGTTGACACGTGGGTGGCGGAAACTTGTGTCGAATAAGCACTGTAAATGCCGTAAATACAGGTTGCACAGATTGTACGCGTCGATCGCGATCGATAACCCTGCTTATCGCGCGCGTCTCGCCGTCGTTTTCTTCTCGTCGAATCGCATACTTCGGTAGAAAGCTCTCCGAGAGGCGCGACACATTGAAGCTCGTATCATTTATCGAGACTTGTCAATCTCGTTGATTTTCCGGTAACCCAAATCACTTCTTGTATTTATTTTGAATATTTTTCAAATATTTTAATATTTTAATTTAATTTTAATAATTTGCGTTATAAACCGAATATGAAATTATTCTTATTCAATGATGATATTGTCTAACCTAATTGCCTTTCCTATATACACTTTATCAGATATTAATCGTTATCTGTAGATTATTTCTATTGTTATTTAATTATTGCTTAAGAAACAAATATTTGCAAATGTGTCGCAAATTAATTTTTCTCTTTTATAGACATTACGTTTTATATCTTTATATTCAATTACCTTTGTCTCGTAAATTTCGGAACATATGTGTGCTTCCATGGCGTAGCGAAGAGGTCGAATTTCTCATCACTTCGAGCTCGTGATCGGTCAGCACGCGCCTCTTTAATCTCACTGAAAATATCATTAATGTCGCGTATGTCGTATTGAGAGAGATTGATTGAAATGTAATAATAGTGATCGCAAGGTGTCTTTAGTATGACTATGCTCTAGAAAACATATCAAAGAAGCGACAGACTTTGAAATTTTTTCTTTTCGAAAATCCCCGAAAAAATTTATTTCGCTGATAATAGAAAGAGATTTTATTATTTGAAAAAATATATAAATTATCGCAAAAACTACGCATTTCTTTAGTTTTAAATTTTACATTATATTGAATATAATGCTAAAATGATAACTATAGTTCATTATTCCAGTCATTTTATTCAAACATTTCGAATAACAACAAATCTTTCGTTGCAAAGATTAGAAGATTAGATATTTATTAAAGTAAATCAATGAGAATATTACGTACCTCGAGGTTCGGCATCAATGACGCTATCAAGAAAATCCTGCGGAGTCATGTACAGCTGACCATCGTATGCCACTGACGCAAATTTTATAAATCTCCTCTCCCTCGTAGTCAACCTTACCGCTTTATGCAGATCATCTTCTCTCTGCACAAATAAATTAGTGCGATTAGTAAAGTTATTTAATAATTGTATCTTTTTTTTATCGTTCCGGTTTCTATAATCTTTTCGCCAAATAAAAATGTTCTTCGAAATATTCACTTCGGCGTAATTATAATCATTGCGTCGATATGGCTTTTGAGTTTTTAATCGCGTGTACTGAAAAATTTTTACCATAATAGATGTATGGTCTTTTGATATTTTCTATACACTTGTCGGAGATGCCAGATTTCATCTCGAGAAGTAACGCACATTTGCACTCTCTAATAAATTAGCCTATTGCTGGAAAAAGCGTCTATGAGCGAAGGTGCATGGCGAAATTAAGACACGAGTTTTCGATGAACGCGATCAATTGCGTTACAAATAAATTTCAGATTATTCAAGAGACGCAATCGTCTCCAAATTTAAATTCGCATCGCGTAAATTCGCCTTCAATCAGCTGTATCGGTGTGTACGCCCAACGTATCGCCGCGTAAGCTGCAGTTAAGTGCCAAACGATATGCCTCTCGCATAACGACGTGAATCTGCGACCTCATCCGGCCAGATTGAATCGTTCAGCCCAGGAAGCATCAAATCACCGGGAATGCATCGGCCGCCGTGGCTCCAAGAAGCCATCGGAGCAACTTCGCTCCTTGCCGACTTAAATTATCGTTCGCTACCTCATACGCACGAGATTGTGGCTTCTATTTATTTTTATTCGCGAGTAATGGCGCATTGTTGGTCGATGCACGAAGCTCGAGCTTCCGCACAAGATGATCTCTTAAATGATGATTAAGTTCGTATCCTTCGTATTTTTGCAGTCATTCGCGCGTAAACGCCAATTCAAATGTCAAGATCAGTTGTAAATTCTCGGTATCGCGATATCGAGTAATTTATAGATTAATGGTATTTCTAACGAAGAAATAAGTTCAACGTTAAACTGTTTCAGTCTCTTATTATTAGACTTATTTTTGTCAATAAAATAATCAAGAATCACGTGCTCTTTAATTTTTAAATGATTTTAATGAAATTTGGAGTTTCACTATTCTTAACTCAACAATGCTAGAACTACACGGAAAGAACAATTTTGCTGAATCCAGATTTGAAAATAATTTTTGTTCAATAATCAAAATAATTTTGTTAGTCATAATTGCTAGAATAACAAAACATTTTATAGCAATGCTCGTAATTTTTAACTTTCCAACAAATAATTTTGATGATTGAACAATTATTTTTAGATTTGTATTTAGCAAAATTTTTAAATCTTTCAATAAAATCGTTCTTTCCGTGTAGAATTTCTAATTGAGAAAAAATTTATTATCATATAAAACCAAAGAAGATGCATCGAACGATTTTTCAATATTTCTAGCAATAAAATTTTGCAATAATATTTCTTCGCAACTTTTATATATTTGCTTCCTCGGATTGATTAATTTCTAAAAATATCTTACGCGGTTTCAAATTTCTTCCTCTTTTAACAGTTTTTGCAAGCTGCAGTTGTAAATATCTCGCGGCCACCGCCCACCGTAGAATCGCGATCCTCGGCAAGCTGTATTTGTCATTCGATGCACATTTCCATAAGTGCCATCGTAACCAGATATCCTTTCGCGCGGATCAGGTGTCCTTTCGCGAGGTTGCCTCTACAAATAAATCACATCTCATTGTGATAAAAAAGGCGTCTGCCTACAATGGTCTGCATTTGTAATAGCGCCATCCTTACGCTAACTGCGCGTTGGCCTGTCCCGCGAGTCTAAAACTCTCTCGGCGAGTTGTGCACGTGAATTATATCCCGCTTTAAAATAAAATAAAAACGCACATGATTTGATAAATTCACTTCAAAATAAATTCGTAGTAAAAGAACAACTATGCCGAAGCGGTGGTTAGGCTTAATTAATTAAGAATTAATCCTGCAATCATGAATCAAGCGATATTGAGCAAAATTAATGTTCTTAACAATAAAAGCCATATTCTAATTAATTCTTTATTTCTAGATGGAAAATGTCGCTTTTTAAACGTCACATATTGTTTTTCTTATTAAAATATTATATATGATTCTTTACTTATCACACGAAAGTGAGATTCTTCTGCCTTTCAGTTTGTTAAAAAAAAATCTAACTTTCATAATCTTGGTCTTGATTGGTCAGCGCGATAGTAAAAGTCTTCCTCAAAGTGTGTTATATAATTTTACGAAACGGCCGATAAATAATAATTTCGAATTCAAAAAGCTTAACGTTCCTTTCGGATCCTCGTAAAATCTATTTGAAGATGCTGATAGAATAGAGACCGCCGCGATTTATGCGGTGAAGATGTTCGCGAGGGCGAATTTATCTTTCGACACGGTCATAAATCGATTCTTTCGTTCCTTCGCGCGCTCAATACGCAAGACCGACGATTTATGAGATGCTAAGCATCGTTAGGATTAATCGCGTCGTTAGAGAATTCGAGAAAGACCATTCGACCGCCCACTCGGCTTTACAAAATTTGTACACGAGAGTGTGCGGCCAAGTAAATTGAGTTTCTCAAAGTACAAGAAACTCATGCGTCTCGAGAGAAGAAGAGTATTTAAGTACAAAAGAATTTTTAAGGAGGCGGCAGTAAAAAGAAAAAGAATCCTTAATTATAGACTTTCACGTAATTCGCTGTTTTCGACGAGATACACCGAAGACGTACCGTTATGACACCATAAGGAAATGTGTTAGCCGTTAATTATAATTTTTACAAAACTGCAATTTTTTACCTCCTTCGTATCGCAACATTCTTCTTCCCTAAAGAAACGTACCTGCGTATTACTGACAATAAATATTGTCACTGCAATTCAGCGTTAATTTCTACATCTCCTAAATTTATCTACATATATTTAAATTTAATCCGTAAAGGACACCAAGCGAATTTTTTTTAAAGTTTTATATCTTCTGAAAATAAAAAGCTAAATCAAAGCAAAATGTGTTTCTCAATGTAAAATTGTCTGACCAATCGATTGGTAATATTAAATTTTCGAAAAAAGAATGTAATTGTTTTCAAATTTCGTGTTAAGCAAAATCATTCAAAAGAGAGGTGTCCTTTACGGGTTAATAAAAATGCTCGTTTATATCATGCATAAAAGTTATTGTTCACATAATATATTGCATCAATTCATGCCTATTCGATTTCCACAGTTAGATTCTTTCTCTCAGGTTAAATATGACGTGCGGAGAGATGATAGCAGATTCCGCAATCTCCCGCATTAAACCTTCTCCCGCTGTGTACCCTAAAACAACTAATTTCTCGAAAATTACACCTCGGTCAGTTAATCAGTATGTCGCGTATCGACTCGATACCTATATATGTATATACGTTCGAGACTATCGTGGGTTCGGAGCGGTATCTCGCACAAACGTATTTTTCTCCCAACGACGACACTCGACGTCTTTCTGAGCGCGGAAATAAGACGCGACGACGAGTGGACGAGTGGCAAAAGGAAGAACGCGGTCGCTTTAGTTAATTTAAGCTGTATCGCGCCCCGATTAATATTCCGGACGGATGGCGTCCTTATGTTCGCTCCCTCTTTCTCGCCATAATGCGAAGAAGCTCGCACTAACCGGGCACGTCCTCGCGTGTCTACTACCCGGGCAGGACCACGCAGGGTGTTAGGCTGGCATGTTCGCGGTGTCGAGGGTAATGACAGGCGTGGTGAACATTATGCTAAGTGCAGAGAGAGAGAGAGAGAGAGAGAGAGAAAGAGAGAGAGAGAGAGAGAGAGACCAGGCCACTTCTTTTCGTCCTCCCGGACCTCCTTTCCTCTCTTCCTTTTTCGCCGATATATCCAGCGGGCATCACGGTGATTAAGGCCCCGTTGAGCCTCTCTCCCTCCCCCCCTCCTCTCCGCTCTCCCGAGAATTCTCACCTCCTAGATCTATCCCTTTGGCGCGCTCCCCCGTCCCCGCGCGCAGCTGTTTATATAGTTTTCAATAAAGAAGCACGCGACGCGGCCGCGCAGAAACAATTTCCTCGAAGTTGTTTCGCCTCGTTTTCTCGGCTTAAATCGATATAGCGAGGGGCACAACCGGCCGATAGGCATCGGCAACCGCCCGAGACCGCGCGCGAGAAAGACGGGCGCCGGCTGTCGATTTTTGTGGATGGGTGTTAAACGGAGGCGTCAGCGTGCGAGAGTGGAGAAAATGCGGTAGACCTTGAAGCGCTACGCTTTTTCTCTCTCTCTCTCTCCGCTTCTATACACGACGGTCAGGCGATATGTGCGAGATAAAGTGAGGCGATCTTATAATATTAGAGTAGCGTCCAGAGGTGATCCGCATTATCAAAAATCTGCCTGTGTGTTGATAACAGAAAGAGAGAGAGAGAGAGAGAAAAAAATATCGTGGGTTTACAGGGATAAAAAAATTTGACCAGCCAATCTTCTTTATCCACTGTAACATTAATGTAACGCGTATAATAAACTGAGAGTGTTTGATAAAAGTCAGCAATTGTTTTGCATGTGTAAAAAAATTAATTACTTTCACATCTTTTAGACGTAGACTGATTGCAACAATAAGTGTTCGATATCAGAGTTTGAATTATTTCCAGTGGTAAACCATGTCCAGTTTACACTTCTTATACGCTCGTCACCCAACGTCATTACTGTCACGGTGTAATCTCGGGCGGCGATACAAATTCGCCAAGTCCAATTTGAATAACGAGCCGCTTGAAGTGTTAATATTCATTGGCGTTGGCGGTAATTCGGGTTAGCGAATCGGCGATCGTGCGTGTGCACTCATACTTTGTACGCGTAAACGCATTCTCACGCGGTATGCGTAAAATTAAGATTATCACGGGAACGTATCTCGGCGCGTTTGCATCACACTTATCGGGAAGAATCTCGCGGACCTTTAAATTATTATAATCTCCAAGCATGGAATATTATTTCCATAAGTTTCAAAAGTATTGAAGTAATATTACTTAATTTTTTAATCGATATTGTCCAAGTGTGCAAACATGTTTGAAGAAAGTCAAGTAATAGCGAAGATAATATTAAA